ATTTTTAGCTACAGGGCGTGATTTAAAAAGCACGTCATGAGTGCTAGCTGAGTCTGTTAATACACTGTTAATTATCGCATTTAGAAAGTACGTTTTCGTCCGGAATCACAGCAACCGTGGATTATTTCAAATGATGCACTAATTGCGATGAATTATGAACTAACAGAGGGCACGAAAGAACTCAATGCTATAATTAAGTTAGCTTTTTGCTGTAGAATTTTAATGAAGTTTATTTCAGAGAGCACTGTGAATTCTAGTGGTAGATGTTTGCTGGAGGTATGAACAGACATCCTCTAATGAGCTGTGTTACAGGTTTACATACGAGCGTCCAAGCAGCAAGGAGTCCAAGGAGCCGTCACAACATTCCTATGCGCTGTCCATTCCGTTGCCTGTAAATTCGACAATACGGAATAATCTTGCCATCATAATAAGGGGGCAGTATAATGAAAGTGTAAGTTTCGCTTCATTTTATCTGTTAAAAGGTTGAAATGGCAGCGCGGGATAGCTGATTACGATGCAGCGACACTGTCAGGAGATATTCAGGCCTCACTATCCATGCTTTGGCGAAAATCAACTTTCTTTTAAATGCCATTTGCTCGCAGCATGTAATTGTGTCGGCCACGATTGCGCATTTGAGCTGCATTGCTTATGGGTTCTGTGCAAATGGCAGAAATGACCTGGTTTGAATATTTTTACAGACTGCAGTCGTGGTTTATCTTTGAAGGAGTTGAGTGTTTGTTCATCGATTGTACTTTCGTTGGTGGCTGCATTTTCCTCATCCTTCATGTTGCTCATTTGTGCCCAGTGTTTAAGCAGCAGAAGTGTTTTCATGCCCATGGCGAAAAAGTTGATACGGGGTTGAGAATTCTCACACCTAAATCATCCTTGATGAGAGTCGGTAGTTCAGCGTTGGCAGTTTTGTGGGAGTGTTCTTTCCACGTCGTTGCCTATCTCACTTCATCCTTTTGCCTTTTTTGCCTTCTTCTTTGCATCAGATGCAGTACAGTTGACCGGTGCACGAGAAAGGCTGCAGTTCATTTTGTTTTAGATCTTGTTAGAACAGGCCTGGCCGCCATACGTTATTGTACCGAACGAAGGAGATCTGAAGCCAGCGCATTCACTGTTAGACGTAATGAGCCAGCCAAACTTAACTGCTCAGGCAGCTTTTTCGAATGTTTCTATGAAACTCAAAGCGTCGAGCAGTTTGGTGAGTTGTCTTTTTTTATAGAACGGGGGATGAACATTCGTTGTCTGAACGTCTAATTTAGCCACTTGTATGAACCTTATATTTTTTGTAGCGTATCAAAATTCTGCTTATTTTCGGCAGCATAGGTGAGAGTAGACTGTAAAAAGTGTTTTGTAGATTGTTTGTTGTTTTATAGATTGTTTTGCATAGTAGTATCTGGCGTTCTGCGTTTCAGGGAAATAGAGTATGGACCGCAGAACTAGTGGAAAATAACGAAACAGCTGCTCTCACTCTTCCGCTTGATGATGTCAGATATGGTGAACACTCGGAAAAGTATATGCAAATGATCGCTTTCGTCGACCGAGTCTTCCCGTCGTTTGCGACTAAATTTGTTCAAGGAGGGTATGCAAGTTTTTCAGTATACATTTTAAGTTTTAAGCTAGTGCGGTATGCTTCGCAGAAACTCGTCGCTGAGATTCCGGGAATTCATCACCTAGGACACTCATTGTTCCAAAAAATTTATTACAAAGAATTTTGCCGAAGTCACGTGAATTCGTTTGGAATAGAAATGATTTATGTAAAGCTAAAATGTCTTGCTAAAGTTTAGGTACTTTCGGAAAACATTGCCAGTACTGGGAGGTGAAGAAATGCAGCAACACGACTAAAAAAACAACAGTCACAATCGTGTATCCTGAGAACAGAACTTAGCAGTTATAAAGCGTCGTGGAAGTTCTCAAGTTGGAGCATGAGAAATGTTTCTTTGACTGTTGTGAAAATAATGCAGGCGGATGGGCTGTCAACGAATGAGGGGAAAAGGGAGTTAGGGGGGGTTGTATGTTATGCGCTTTTTACATCTGTGCAATGCAAAAATGCGCATTGCCGGGAGGTTGTCTGTGTGTGTGTCTGTTTGTCTCTTTGTTTGTATGTATGTTAGTCTGTGACGATTTTTCATCTCGGGATCTGCAAAAGCTGCAAGGCTGAAATTTTGAGAACTTAATCCGTATGCATATACGGCCAAAATGGACGTTGTTGCCCACATGGTTCCCACGTGCAGGCCCGTGAAAGTTTTTGGCGACTGAGCTGCTAACTCGGGAAACATAAAAGATAGAAGCTGAAATTTTAAGGGAAT